CTCACTTCCCCTTATCGGTGTCGAGCGTGGTCACTAATCACAGCGTGTATTCCCATTGAGTCTTAGTCTTGGAAGGGGAGAAGTCTTATATGTTTTAAGGCTTATATCTAAGTAATTATCTAAAAATGTTTGCTTTTTCTATAGGTTTTTTTCCATATAAAATTAATAATTGTTCCTTGCAAAATATGAAACACTAAACTATCTTTCCACAGCACTTTTTCTACTTCTTTGTTGGATTTGATAATCTGTTGCAATGGTCACATAACACTCAGATACCACACTCAGGGTCATGGGGTTTGACACATTACAATTTGGGGCCAGAAATGCTCAGGGCACAGTTGTCCAGTCAACTGCTGATAAATGCCCATAGGATACACCACTCACCGTAAGCCTCAGCCTGAATGCATTTAGCTCCTAGCTCTTTGGGTCAGCAAACCTAGCTCTCCCCACTTAAATGCTGGGAGCCTCCCCATTGTACAAGCAAGCTTCCTGTCCAAAGTCACTCAGCTTTCCTTGCTCCAAGGGCTGGGAAGTTCACTATTCTCTCTTGTGCTCTGGTTCTTGGCTCTGTTGCTGTTTGTTTTCGTCTACTCCTTTTGTATTACAGCTTGTTGTCCCTGAGTCAAGGAGGTTCAATGGACAGGGAACTCCAAAGGATGCATTCCACTCTTGACTATTCTTTTTTGATGGTAGTGAGGTCCCTCCTCCTCCTTTGAGATGGGAGAAGAGACTGATGGGATGACATGATTCAGCTGTGGATATCAATTCATTGTAATTGTAAAAACTTGAAATGCTAGCCTGGCTAGCAAATGAGCCATCTCAAAGCAGGAGGAGGGATGCATCCTGTGGAATTCCCTGTGCATTGAATCTCCTTGACCCAGGGACAAAAAGTGTAACACCAAGACCTAGTAGGGCGAAAATATTATTTGGTGAGAGTTACAAAGCATGGCTAGAAGAGACACTAAATAATTTACTACCCTACAGTCTTGCTCTGGTGAGACAAAAAATATGGAATTTTTGTTTGGACTGCATTAAATGTATAGATTAATTTAGGGAGAACTGATATAGGATGTTCTTGGATAAATATAGGGCCTGTTTATCCAAGAAGATACTATGTCTATCGATTATTCAAACATATTTCTGTCTCCTAGGAGTAATTATATCATTTTCCTCATACAGGTTTTAGATGTCATTTGTATGTACTTTATTTTTTATATTGTCAATGGAGTTTATTATGTCATCTCTCTAGTTTTTGTTTGTATTGATAAAAGCTATTAAACTGTCTATGTTAATTTTATACCTTGTTACTTTACTAAGTAATTTCATTATTTTAGTGGCTTTGCCAATGATTATTTGGGATTTTTCAGATATGTAATCCTGTGAGATGAAATTTTTAACTTTTCTGAACCTTCTCTTAGAAAACAGAATTTTAACTGAATAGCAATCTAGGCATATTTCTGGAGGTCACACTGAGCCTCTGTGTTGCACTGTGTGCGTGTTTGTGTGAGTGTGTTCAAATAGTTCATGTTACCTGACCTGTGTAAACTGCATTGTGTTTTAACAGGAGTTAGAAAGGCAGAAACATATGTGCAGTGTGCTACAGCATAAGATGGATGAACTTAAAGAAGGAATTCGGCAAAGAGATGAGCTTATTGAGGTATGTGTGTAAATGTGGATATAATTAGTTTTGTAAAAAATGTATTGGGTAAGCAAAGGGTGTAAGTGTTTGAATAGAAAAGAACTAAAATACCACAAATAGTTTATTTTCTTTTCATATTTTGTTGTTCCCTAAAATTTCAAACATGAAACACACCAAGATTGTAATAAATTGACATTATTAGCCCTATAACCATTCCCCTTTTAATAGCAGAGTTTTTGTGTTAAGTTTTTATTGTGAATTGGGTTATAGCTCACGTGGGAGAACATCAGCTTTACATTCATCCTATTGTATTTTGTTTCATTGCAATGATTACAGTCCCTTCTGTGCATCGTCATTCAATAGTATTTACTTCCATTCCCTGTTTTGTTTTGTTTTTTTTTGAGGTGGGGATGTACACCGAAGTAGTCAGGAATAAACAACCATTTAAACAACCAAATAGTACACCTGGCAAGCCCGCCCCTCAGCTGTCAGTACACAGCCCCTCTCCCTCCCTGAGTCCAGAGTCCCCAGCCACTCTAACTCTCCATGTCATCATCTCTGCCTCCATCTCTGGTGTTATTGCTTCTATGGATATGATCCCGCACTCTGCTCTTCTCCCTTGATGGTCCCAGGGTCCTCCATTCCTGGACTGCAAGATCAACCACTCCCCTCCTTTTGTTACAAAATGTCTACATTTACATTTGCAACACTTAACAATAAGATAGTAATTATTCACTATTGAACCACAAGAGTCTTATCCCCTGTCTCCTTTCACCAGCCTCATCCAGACAGGTTGGAAACCACTCAGTGGAGATTCTGCCTTCCCCAGTACCCTCTGAAACTAGGCTCCCTCTTGAAAGCTTGTAAGCCAGTCACTTCGTGCCTTTGTAGTCCCCCCATTTTGGGTAGCCCGTGTGTAAGTTGCCCATCCTTATCAACCCTGTGTAGCAAGAGGGTGGGAATTATCCTCACTGTAAAGATTTGTTCCCTCTTTTGAGCTACTACAATAGCAGAGGTTTTTGTAAGTTCCCTTTACTTTTAGGTATATTTTTTACTAAAGAGAATTTAGGAAGTAGTCAATGGGAAAATTTATTGGGAGTATCCTTGGAAAAGTAGAAATGCCATCTTTTGGGACATGATTCTTTGGGAACAAGAAGTTTGATCTTCACTCAGGTAGAAAAAGTTTTTAAGATGAATAAGTGAAAAGAAAAAAATGTCAAGACACTTTACATATAAGAAGGCAACGGTTGGCAGGTACTGAGGCTCAGATTTCTACTGGTTAAAGAATTGTGAGCGTTGCAGTATTGGCAACATTTTGAGAATGAAAAGGAACATAGTTCACCAAAAATTATTTGCAATTATTTGTCATCCTTCTATGCATGGTACCTTCCATACTTCTCTGTTTTATCTCTTAAGATTGTAATTTTTTAAGTAAATGATGAAATTAAGTTATCCTGTCCACTATCTTGTGTATGCTGTTGTTTTTAAGTGCAGTCGAGTCAATTCCAATTCATAGCGAGTCTGTATAGGATTTTCAAGTTGCAACTGGTGGATTTGAACCACCGACCTATGCTTAGTAGTCAAGTCCTTATCCTACAGTGCCATACCACTCATCAGCCAAAACAAGGCCAGGGACTGATGGTGAAATAGACTATCAGTTACTCATATTCAAATTAAGGCTGAAGCAGAAGAAAATTAAAATAAATCTGCGAGAAACAAACTATGACCTTAAGTATATCTCAAGAATGGACTTATGCATTTAACACTAATGACTGAAGATCAGAGGAATTGTGGAGTGACATCAAGATCATACATGGAGAAAAAAGCAAAAGATCATTTAAAGACAGGAAAGAAAGACAATACCAAAGTCGATGTCAGAAGAGACTCTTAAACTTGTTTTTGAATGTAGAGTAGTTACAGTGAATAGAAGAAATGATAAACAGCTGAACTGAAGATTTCATAGGGCAGCTTGAGAAGACAAAGTCAAGTATTATAATGAAACATGCAAAGACCCGGAGTTAGAAAACCAGAAGGGGAGAACATGTTCACCATTTTTCGAGCTAAGGGGACTGAAGAAAAAATGAAAGCCTTGAGTTGCAATAGAAGGATTCTATGTGCAAAATACTGAATGCTGTAGGAAACATCAAAAGAAGATGGAAGGAATTCACAGTCTTACTGTACCAAAAATAATTGGTTGATGCTCAACCATTTGAGGAAGTAGTGTACTATCAAAAACTGATGAAGGCAGAAGTCCAAGCTGCACTGAAGGCATGATCAAAAAACAAGGCTCCAGGAACTGACCAAATACCAGTTGAAATGATGCAGTACTGAAAACACTCACTTATCTATACCAAGAAATTTGGAAGACAGCTACTTGGCCAAATTAACTGGAAAATATCATTGTTTGTGCCCATTCCAAAGAAAGGTGACCCAACAGAATGCAGAAATTATCAAACAACATCATTAATATTACATGCAGGTAAAATTGCTGAACATAATTCTAAAATGGTTATACCAGTACATCCACTGGAGCTGCCAGAAATTCCAGCTAGATTCAGAAGATGACATGGAATATCACTGCTGGTGTCAGATGGATTTTGGCTGAAAGCAGAGAATACTAAAAAGATGTTTATTTCTGTTTCATTGACTTCTAAAACTTTGAACATATTAACAGGAGGAACCAGACTCTGGAAAAGGACATCATGCTTGGTGAATAGGGTCAGGAAAAAGAGGAAGACCCCTAATGAAATGGATATACATAATGGCAACAATGGGGTCATACATAACAACAGTTGTGAGGATTGTGTAGGATTGTACAGTGTTTTGTTGGGTTGTACATAGGTTTGCTATGAGTCAGAGCCTTCTTGACAGCACATAACAACAACAACATATTGGTGTGTATTTCATGGTATCTAATGTTAACTTTATTACAACAAAATGTGCAAAGATCTGGAATCAGAAAACTGAAAGGGAAGAAAACACTCAGCATTTCTCAAGCTGGGG